TATCTGGCAAAGAGCCATGGTAGAGAAGAAAAGGGTTTTTTGGCAAAGAAAGGGTTAGGATTTTCTTCAGAAACTTGGCCAGTAGGACTCAGATCTCTTAAGGTTTCACGATCAGAAATTCGGGAGGATCGCTTTCAGTGAAAATGAGACTACTTACTTCAGGTGTCCTGAATTTGGAAACGATTTTCCCTGGAGAAGAGCGCGAAATGATCGTTTCTCGTAGGCGACGCGATTTCCTCTTCGACGACGAATACGACGATTGAGCCGCTTTCTGATTCCTCATTTCCATTTGGAATCACTTGTTGTAAATTTGTCACTAGTGTTTTAATAAACGTTTATCTATTTGAACATCCCTTGTATTGGCAGCGCCAGGTAGGTGGCGCATGTAGTGCTACTCTATTTGGAGAGTGACTCCGAGAAAACAGAGAAAGTTTTGATTTGTTTTCCAATAGGTTGATTATGATATTTGCGCCTCCTCAGGATTCCTCGAAAGACAGTTGTCGACCCGAAATCAGAGTACACAAGGTAAACGGCGCATAAGTTACCGTATAATCCTGAATATTACCGAGGATTATTACAGAAATTCTGACTTACTGGCAGAATATTAACCACAGACAGGACTTGAACCCATAGCCACGCTTACCGAACGAGTGTGCTAAGCAGTACAAACCCCCCGACACCCCTTCACCTTCGTGGCTTTCCATGTTGAATTGTCAAAAATTGAAAAGAAGCGAACTTTCGTTCAGTCTCCTGTTTCATTGCCAATATCGGTTAACCGGCTCGTCATGTCAAACTTACGAGTGCAGTAATGCTATGGTATAAGCTATCAAGCAAGCGTGCAGGGCTCCCCTACAGGAGCGGTCCGCTATGACCCATGAAAATGTAAAAGATTGATTGGGAACGGTCGTATGGTCTGCAATGGGTAACCGTTCGCGGTGGAAAGTTGTAGGGTAAAGGAGCAAAATCGCTCAAGTGGCACCTCCCCTTTTCCAGTGACTCCGCCTCCAAGCTTTGCCTTCATAGCCCGCCTTCCAGTCAAAAGGGAACCGATTAGGTAGCATGAAACGGATGCTCTGTTGTCTCTTATGGGGACATAGAGTTCACTACAAGGAATTAGCCCAGTGGGTTGGTCCCAACACGCGGTCCTTTGGCCTCTTACCCGTACAACTGTTTGAGGATTGAGGGGGCTTATTGAAGGCGTTACCGTTCTTTTGGGCATTTTCTGTTCACAGACGAGTCACTTGACAATTCTCAAGTATTTTAAAACCACCACAACGCCTATCGCGGACCGTGCCATTGTTGGTGCAATGGTTAGCGCTCTCGCTCTATAAGCATGAGATTCGGGTTCGAGTCGCATCTGATGGTAGTACTTCCGCCATGAATCAGCTACCTTGTTGTGACATCGAAACGCGAACTACGAACGCCTCGAACAGCACTGATCGCAATGAAAAAAACAAGTTCAGAAGCATCAGTGCTATTGCGATTTCCAGCGAAAAAATTGAAGGATTGTGCATCTTCTGTTTGTCAAGCGACTGAAATGTGCTACACAAATGTAATACATAGCTTCATTACCAGTCTCACTGAATTCTTAAAGCAGCGTGAAGATCCAGAGAAAGTTACTGATTGAAGGCTGATTTTATTGAAGCGTCGATTCAAATGGACTGACACGTTTCCAAGGTGACTGCCAGGTCCATCTTCTACCAAAAAGGACCCCACGTTCATGTTTGAAATAGGAAAGCATGAAAACAAAAGGACATGGAAATGACTCATAGAACACAGACGCCTGCCAGAAAACAGTACGATAACAAGCTGTTGACTGTGTCAGCGTTTTTGTTCACATGCGTGACACCCCAAAAGGCATTGAAAGCATGAAAGTTTTCAGCAGGAACAAGATCTAACGCTTGCAAGGCGTTATCTTCTCATCCATTCATGTCAACATACATTTGAACTTGCTATGAATATGCATCCTCTATCTAGTGCCTTGAGGAAGGCACCGTTTAGGCCACAATTCTTGTTTGGTTTTTAGTGCTGTGGGACTTTACGCAGCCCATATCTGAGGGCAGAAGGGGCGTTTTCCAATTCGTAACAGCGAGCGCGCGACGGATGCGATGGAAGAGCGGCAACGACATTTGTCGGGAGACGAGAGTGGGCACCGGGACGCGCATTTCCGCAGCGACTCCTCCATCCGACATGGACTGAATCACATTGCAGGGGTGCTGCAGGCGGCGTGAGGCTGCATTCACGCTTTGCGGCAGCGCCCCCTAGCGTTCCGAGCGTCCAGCTGTGTCAGCGATTAGGAAAGTGTAGCTATCGATCAGCGTCTGCCAGCGTCTACCAGCGTTCACCAGCGACCGAGAGTAGAGAGTATGGGAAAGTAGGAGGGTAGCAAACAGCTGGATTAGGCGTCGTGAAATCACTGGGTGCAACCGTACCGCAGAGCGGCTAAAGCATGCAATTATGCGGTTTAATGTACGCGTGTAGTGTGGTGTAGTGTAGTTGCACAGTGCAGTTGCACACGCCGCAAATTCACGACGCCTAATCCGGCTGCTTTTTACCCTCCTACTTTCCCATGCTTCCTACTCCTGGTCGCTGGTGAACGCAGGTAGACACTGGCAGACGCAAATCAATATACTTTCCTAGTCGCTGACGATGCTGGACACTCGGAACGCTAGTGAACGCTGGTAGACGCTGCCGCAATTCATGAACGCAGCCTAACGTGCGCGGTGTTAGCACCAGGACCTCACTCGTATTGGATGGAACTACTGCAGTATATCGTAGCTATCTATGAACCAATGACTAGTCTGTGCATGCTGCCGCACCGCGGATATAAAGTCCCACAAGATTTGCAGAATGCAGGAGCAAATGTTAATTACTTTAAGGAGCAGTGTTTGTTTCTTACTCAGAACTGTGGTGAACTTGCTTCGTTGAATTAACTAGTACAACCTTCAGTTTT